TTAGTAGTGCAACCTTTCTTAAAGGAGTGTTCCTCGATTACTTCCAGGATTTCTTCCAAACTACTGACTTATTCTGCAACTATTAAAGCTGAAACTTTCCAATTTGACTAAACATACTTTTCTTCAATCGAATCACATGTGGCTGGATGTTCAGTTCAAAGTCAGCAAGAAGTTACTGACAATATTTGATGTTAAATACCTTAATCATAATACTTTGTGATAAAATGGTCACAACACCTTCTCATTGTTCACTAGTTTTCAATTCTAGGGATTTGGCAATTTCTCCTGCCTTAAGTTGCATAGCTTGACTTATGACAGACATTCATTTACATGCATATAATTAAGCATGCACATAATTTACTAACAAAACATAAGTTTTCTTTCATTTACTTTGGGATATCTTCCCTTTTTTAGGAAATGTAACAACTTTGTTTTAGCAAGGCCATGACAGAAATATGGCATCCACAATGTAGACCAGATCTAGGGAACACACATGATGGTGAATATAACCTAAAATATATCACATGAGGAAGGCAGAATAGGGAAACTTTACATAAAAGAACAAATAATTGAGGTACCAGATAGCTGTCTTCAAACGTCTAAAAGGCAAAGAATGTTGCAAGAAGGAATTGATTTGTTGAGCACCAAATTACGATACAGTTTAAGGCAACTATGTTCTAAGACAGCATATATTATACAGAAATTAATTTTGATTCACTGTGTATCTATGAACTTAATGAACTTCCCATCGACAGAGATGACCACTTTTATTGATTAGGATTCTCTGAGTTTCAAGTACAGGAAATACAACCTAACTGGCTTTAAAAAAAGTACAATTTATTGGCTCAAGTAACTGTGAAATTCAAGTTGTAGCTGCCTTTAGATAATCTAGATCAAGAGGGTAGAATCAGGACATATTTTCTTGGTCTCTTCACTTTGCTTCTTTCTATGATGGTTTTACTTTGAGCAGTCTGACCCCACCCATATGGAGGCAAAGATGGACACCAACAACTCTAGGTATCCTTGGCCCTTATTATTTGGAAGTTTCTGTGAAAGAAGCAGGTTCCTTTCTCAGTGATCTCTGCAAAAGCACTGAGTTAGATCACAAGCCTACACTGAATCAATCACTGTACCTAAAAGAGTAATCTGATTGGCTGAGCCTGTGTCATGTGACACACACAGATTCAGACAGCGGTGAGAGCCCTGTTGAACCAAATGAATGAAATAAAAATGTAGGGAATGTAGTTTCACAAAGACAATCCAGGCAGACAGAAAAGTATGCACTGACTACATGTACATGCAAAAGTAAGATTTTATATGGAAAAGCATCCTAAACAAAATTAAAAAGCTAAAAATTGCAAAATTATTTTCAAAAAATAATCATATAAAGAATAATTTTAATTTATTTGTAAGACTAGAAATGATGCTACGTTCTTTGACTGGAAACAATAAAACTAAAAATAATGACGAAAAGCTGAAAATAAACTCCTTATAAAATTTCAAGCATCTCCTAATTTTTAGCAAATAGCAAAGATAAAATAGAAAAAAATGATATGTTAAGAACTCAATGATGTTGATAACACTACATATAAAAGTTATGGAATAAGGCTAATGCCAGATGCAGAGGAAAATGTACAGCATTAAATGTTTTAATAAATAGGAAAATTAAGCATGTGTTTCAAAAAGCTAAAAGAAAAACAGCAAAATAAAATAAAAGTAGAAAAGAGAAAAGTATTTTAATAGCTTTTTCAAAAATTGTATATATTTTTCTTTGGTTCTACATTAAAACTCAACAGTGTTGGTACAAGTATGGAGGAATAGATACTTCACATATGTTTAGCAAGAGTGTAAATTTGTATAGCACTTTGGCAGGCAATTGGGCAGTACCTATCAACATTTTCAATGCATATGCACTTTGACTCAGCAATTCCACTTCTAGTTATTTATTCTAATTCCACTTCTAGTTATTTATTCATATGTATATATATATATATATACACACACATACATATAAAAGAACCACATACATATATATGTATGTATATATATATATATACATACATATAAAAGAACCACAGTGTTTTAAATAAGAGCCGGAAAATTTAAATGCTCTAAATGTCTAACAATAGGGAAATGGCTATGCTATGAAATTATGGCATGTCTACCTTTAAGTATTGGCAAGGGGAAATCTCCAAAATATATCATTAAGTGGAAAAAAAGTATTTATTTTATGAAGGTTTGGTGACACTTGGAATATAGACACTAAAATTTATCTATAATAGTTAAGAATAGTAAACAAATTTAGGGGATATAATAATGAGGGGAGACTTGCTCCATCATATGTCAAGACATACCTTAAACTACAGTGATCAACATAATTCAGCTTTGGCCCAAAAATTTTCAAATAGAGCTAGACTCTTGTCATTTAAAGTGTGGTCCATAGACCAGCAGTATGCCCATCCCTCTAGCAGTTTGTTGGAAATACAGAATCTCAGGACTCATCTGAGACCTACTAAACGTAACTCTGCATTTTCACAAGATCTCAGTGTTATTAAAGTTGTACATTAAAGTTGGAGAAGCACTGGTCTCAACATGCCATTCATCAGCATCACTGGAATTTTTTGAGTATCTAGAGGCTCTGACTGCATTCTGAGATTCAGTGCATCAGAATTTCCCAAGATCAACTTCATTTTTTCCATCTAGACATCCAGTTTTCCCAATGCTATTTATTGAAGAAACTATTCTTTTCCTAATGTGTAACCTTGTCAGCCTTGTTGAAAATCATTCGACCCATATATGTGAGGGTTTATTTCTGGGCTCTCTATTCTGTTCCATTTGTCTGTATGTCCGTCTTTATGCCAGTATCATAGTGTTTTTGATTATTGTAGCTTTGTAACATGCCTTGAAATCAGGAAGTGTAAGATCTCTAGTTTTGTTTTTCTTTCTCAATATAATTTTGGCTATTTAGGGTCTTATGAGATCCCACATAAATTTTAGGACTATTTTTCTGTTTCTGCAAAAAAAATGGATTTGGGTCTTTGATAGGAATCGCATTAAATCTGTAATCTCTGGGTATATTTTAACAATATTAAGCCTTCCAGTCCATGAACATGGGATATTCTTCCATTTATTTATGTCTTCTTTGGTTTCTTCAAGCAACTTTTCGTAGTTGTTGGTGTACAATTCTATCACCTCCTTGGTTACTTTGTTCCTAAGTATTTTAGTCTTTTTGATGCTATTGTGAATTGAGACTATTAATTTCTTTTTCTAAATGTTCATTGTTAATGTATAGAAATGCTATTGGTTTTGTGTGTTGATTTTGTATTGCAACTTTGCTGAATTTATTAGTTGTAGCAGGTTTTGATGAAATCACTATAGTTCTCTATGTATAAGATTATGTCATCTGTGAATAGAGATAATTTTTACTTCTTTCCAATTTAGAAGCCCTTTATTTCTTTTTCTTGCCTAATTGTTCTGACTAGGACCTCCAGTACTATTTTGAATAGAAGTAATGAGAGTGGGCATCCTTGTCTTGTTCCTAATCTTAGAAGGAAAGCTTTCAATTTTTCACCAATTGGTATGATATTGGTTGTGGGCTTTACTTATGTGGGCTTTATTATGTTAAGGTAATTTTCTTCTATCTCTAATTTCTATAGTGTTTTTCCCCTAAAATTGTGCTGAATTATGTCAAGTGCTTTTTCTGCATCAATTGAGATGACCATGTGGTTTTTCTACCCTTCATTTGTCAATGTGGAATATACATTGATTTTGTATGTTGAACCATCCTTGTATCCTAGGAATTAATCTCATTTGGTTATTGATGTACAGTCTTCTTTGTGCTGTTGAATTCTGTCTGCTAGTATTTTGTTGAATATTTTTCATCAATATTCATCATAGACATTGGTCTATACTTTTCATTTATTGTAGTATTCTCATTTAGCTTTATTGTCAATGCTGGCTTCATAGAATGAGTTTAAAAGTATTTTCTCCTCATCAATTTTTTGGAAGAGTTTATAAGGATTGGTGTTATTCTTTAAACATTTGGTGGAATTCTCAGTGAAGAGGGAGGTTTCTTTCTTACCAATTCAATCACCTTAGTAATTATAGGTCTATTTAGAATGTCATATCTTCATGATTCAATCTTCATGGTTGTATGTTTCTAGAAATATGTCTATTTCCTCTAAGTTATCAATTTGTTGGCATATAATTGTTTATAGTAGTCTATTATGATATTTTTTATTTCTGTGGCACCAGTTGTAATGTCTCCTTGGTCAGTTCAGATTTTCATTATTCGAATCTTTTCTTTTTTTCTTAGTTAATCTAAGTGTCAATTTTGTTGATCTTTTCAAAAAACCAACTCTGTTTCACTGATTTTTTTTCTATTTTTCTATTCTCTATTTTGTTTATTTTTTCTTTAATCTTTATTTTTCCTTCCTTCTACTAATTTTGAGTTTAGTTTTTTTTCTTTTTCAAGTTCCTTGAGGTATAAAATTAGGTTGTTGATTTAAGATCTTTCTTCTTTTTTAATGTAGGCATTGACCTCTATAAACTTCCTCTTCTGCTTTTGCCGCATCTCATAAATTTTAGTATGTTGTATTTTAGTTTTCATATGTCTCGAGATATTTTCTAATTTTTCTTGTGATTTCTTCTTTGACCCATTAGTTATTCAAGAGTGTGCTGCTTAATTTCCACATGTGTGTGAATTGCTCGGGGGTTCTCTTTGCTAATGATTTCTAGCTTCATTTCATTGTGTTTTATTATCATAATTTATGCTAATGTTCAGTAAGTATTAGCTGATTTTCACATACATACAAAGCTCTCACTCGTGCCCTTTTTCAGATTCTTGCAGCTTAACAAAGATATAAAAAAGCACTTTGTTATGGTATAAGAAATAGGTTAATAATACGAATTATCATGAGCAGACATTTAAAATATTACCAATGTAGATAAGAATAATTGTGAAATAAATGTATTTATTGACTTTTTCTTTTGGGCTTTAGGCATTAGGATTTTTGTCTTCTTATGGAATAGGAATGGAATATAATCAAGCCAAGGTAAGGTCACTCTATTTTTTCTGAAATAAAACTGATTCTTTTAAAGGTACATTGAATAGAAAGTCTACTCTTTAGGTAAAGGGTTTCACTGTAGTGCAGTGATTAAAAGCACCAGCTCAATAGTCAGAGGAGTTTGGAGTTAAAATACAATAAGTGTCTTAATGTCTCATATTTCAGGTTCTTCATTAAAAGTAGATAATATCTATTTCATAGGGATTTTGTGATGAGTAAATAAAATATTGTGTACAATGCCCTTTTCACAGACTCTAGAGCTCACTAAGACACTCCCCCCACCAAAATGTCAGCTGTCTTTACAGAGGAAGACAATGAAGTTTGTAATTTGTTTTGGAGCAGGTCAAGGTCCATTGCTGTGCTAGGAATAATAAAGCAGAATTGGTTTGAATTTCAAATTTAGATGACGTGTATATATTTTTGTTTTGTTTTGGTTTACTTTAGGCACTGATATATTATACCTTTGGAAGTGCTGGAGGAAGCATGATGTCCCAGATGATTTTGGTTTGTAAATTAAATATTCTTGGGCCCAAGTAGATATGTTATAAATACAGCATTGTCAGAATATTAAGAATATATATGCCTGTGTTTTAGGGGTACAGATATTTATCAGGAATCAATGTTCTACAGAATTGTGAAGTTGCCCTAAATCATTACAAGAAAGTGGCAGATTATAGTGAGTAATCCACATAATTTATTTTAAGATAAACAGACTTGCCAAGAAATTAAAGAAATAAATGCCAATCAATACAATGATAGTATTGAGATTATGCTTTTAACATCTGTTATAATATAGTTCTTGTAATGCAATGTAGAGTTTTCTGATTTCTTATTAGTTACTTTTCAAAAGTTTTAAATAATTGTGCTCATCTTTTATTTTTGTTAGTACATGTCTCCAAAGAATTCTTTTTTACTTGTTCTTGTGATGTTCTTTTTTTCTACTAAGAACTTGAATGTAGCATCAGTAAATATTAAACAGTTTCTCTAATTTTAACATTTCAAATATGGGATGACTTGTTTAAAATTCCTGAAGAAATGGATGTAAGATACATACATTGGCATTCTCTATCTCTGCACTTGAGAACAATTCGAGTAATCATTATTCTATTATCCTATCCTTCATCTACAAAAAAATAGAACGAGATTAACATATGTTCCTAGAATAATTTTCAAAGTTTAATGTAACATTTCATCTTGCAACATCACTGAATCAGAATACATAATAGAATTTGAATAAAAATCTTCCAAGAAATGAATAGTCCATTTGGTTAAGTCCATTTGGTTAATTTCTATAATCAGAGTAACATCTAAATACACAGTTTTGGTATTATTAGGATCTGAGAAAAGAAAGAGAAAAAAAACTACTACTTAGAATTTAAGATGCCATATATAACAAGATCATTTCACATGCATAATAAAACTAGAATTACTATATGTATAATTCAAAGTGCATACTTTGTTAGGTTTATTCAAACATATTTATCTTTATATTTATTTTCAGACTACCATAGGAAGCAATTAAGGAGCAGTTATTGACTTTATATTATAGTTTCAGTCTAAGAAAAAGTCAGTGGTAGAAGAGATTAGTCATCTGCTCCTAAAATCTGTAAAATCTGTCTTCTTTTCTTGAACCTACTTGGCCAAGATGTTCAGTAAGTTTTGATTGATATAATGTTGATACAATATTTGTATGAGTTGCAAAGCTTTCTTGCACTTTTCTCAGAACCAAGTAAACAAAAATCAGCACATTTCTATTACCTCAAGATATTTCTCTTCTGTTAATAGACTAGATCTCTGCACAATTTAAGGAGGCTAAGCCTAAAAGTGTTTTCTCTAAGTTGACTTATTTCTTGCAACCTTGTGTATTCTGGCTATTCTCTGGCTTGTTTATATTCGCAGTTGCTGACAAATTGGAAAAAAATGAAGGTATTCCAGTGGAAAAAGTGAGACTAACTGAGAGACCTGAAAATCTGAGTTCTAACAGTGAGATTCTGGATTGGGACATATACCAATACTATAAATTTTTGGCAGAAAGAGGAGATGTTCAGATACAAGTAATGTATAAAGACAAGCTTGAATTTTAAAACCATGTAAATTACAAAGGGCTTGGTTCTCCCTGACACCTAGAAGGGTTAACAATGCCTCATCCTAAATGGGAAAGGGCAGAGACACCCCCTCCTCTTTGTTCTGCTCCTTTTTTGTCCCCTGCCATTTGCAGTTCCTGTGGCCTGTGGACTATGAGAGAGCCAGTTGGCATAGTAATGGCAATTTTTTTACATTTACTCCTAAAAAAGTTCATTACTTAAAAGCCTAGATTTTAATTATTTAAAAAAGCACCATTCAATATTAGTTTTAATATGAATGAATTCTTACCAAGATCCAGAAATGTTCTGCCTTTGGGAATGGGAATGGTATGGCATTTGCATGAACTTTCAGTAGGTTTATGTGCCTCAGTGTTACTGTACTCCAGCAGGCCATTCATTAAAGAAGCCATATGCCCTGTATCGACCAGTTACCCAATAAAAGATATAGTCTGGAATGTTTCCTGCTTCTTTTTTAAGACATGTCAACTGAATCAAACTGTATCAACAATCTATAGTGAAATCACCAAGTAAGAGGTTTTCTTTTCTTTATTTAAATTAATATTACTGTTCAAATAATTTTCAAAAATTATTGTTCCTAGGTATCTCTTGGACAATTACATCTAATTGGGAGGAAAGGTCTAGATCAGGATTACTATGTAAGTCAATCTCAAGATTCTGTCATGTGGATTGGGAAGGACAGTGGTGAGGAAGGATGGTGGAGCAGTGAAAAGGGAGTTAGGCATGGAGGAGTTGCTGGGGAAAGCCCACTGTTGCTTCCTTAGTCAGATCAGCTTCCCAACTTCTGAGGAAGAACATAGTTCACCAGAGGGAACACATTTCCTACTTGCTTTAGAGTATAAAGGGGTAGAGGCTTCTGAAGAAGCAGTTGGGGCAGGGGTGCTTCCATGCTCCCTCTGAAACTAGCCTCTTCTCACCTAAACACACTTTTGGACGGGGATAAGATAAGGAGGACATCCCATATGCTGGCCTTGGAATTGCCCATTCCCTAAGCCAGCTGTGGAAAGTCTGTCTAGGAGTTTCCTGAGAATTAGACTCAGCCCCATTTGGCTAGATCAGAAGACAGACTGTTTGCAATGTTATTAGAAGCATTATTAAGCATCTTTATAAATTTGCACAGCTCCTTTCAATCATTTTGCCTAACTTTACCCTATCTCAATGAGGTTATAAGATTAATTATCAATTAATTACCAATTAATTATCAAATTTAGTGGAGAAAGAGCAAATAAACTTGACCTACACAGGATCCTTCTTAGTAAGATATCAGAGCCCTGGGATGAAGTCTTGTCTAGATCAAGGTTTCAAGGCCCTAGATCCTCACAGATCTGGAGAAGTAACTGGGGTTCTTTTTAAAAGATGATTTTCCAGCCTTTGTCATTTTATAGGAGTGGTTGCTATTGCCTCAAAGGAGCACATACCCTATTTCAACATAGTCCCAAAGTCTAAGCATTAGGAATAACTACTTTATAAGGAGATTACATTATTATTACTTTCTATTTCACTTAAGATCGTTATTTTACAAATGTGTCTTTGGTATTATAGTTTGTTTTATATTAGATATAGTATATATATATTAGGTAAATGTCAAAGTTAATTTCATAAAACGTGATAAAAATAGGTAGCAAGTGAAATAAGCATATGCATCCCAAGACAGCTCAATTGAAGGCCTTCAGATTTTATTATCTTCATCATTAGCCAAGGTTTTAGCTCCTTAGATGAATTCTAGATTCACAATATTGCTCCAATTTCAAATTTTATCCTTCAATGAGTTTCTCATGTTAATCATAAGATGCATACTGGGACGAATTCTCCATTTTTCATAAACATGAAATTTTATTGTGAAGGTACCTAAAACTCAGCTACAGGGAATACCCACCAATCTTTGTAGAGTACATAAAATCCCACAAAGCTAGATACCTCTGGTTAACTCCAGCTATCAGATAGGAGCTGTAGCCATCTCTAGGTGAGGATGAAGTGCTATCCAAGGCTGACACTGAAGGATTCTGGTGCTGTAGTGGCAAAAGCCAGGCAGTTGGACATCACCCTGGCTCTCCTGTGGGCTCATTCACAAGGGTTTTATTATCTCTATTTTACAGATGAGGAGCTGAGGCTGAAGAGATGAAATAAATTGCTTCAAGTCTCTCAGCTGGGTAAAAAGGTTGTTATGAAGCAGAATTTTAACTCAGGGCTTCAGCATTCAAAGCCTGTGCTCTTTCCATCAAACCTTACTACCTTTTGATCTAGGCAAAAAAAAAAAAAAAAAAGCCTCTAAAACCTATTTTCCTCATTTATAAAGCAAGAAGAATGAATAACAATCTCTCAGGTTGCTTCAGCTCGAACTTTCTGATGATGTGTTGGACTCTGTGCTGTTCATCCAGATATTTCGAAAAGGCTGGCTTTATTTCAGAACCATTCCCATGGTTCAGGCACATTCGGAGGCAACCAGAGGCTGGTCTTTGCTGCTTCATTCTGCCTAATAAACTAGAACTGGAATGGGGGGCTCCAGTCAAGTTCTGCGAGCTCAAGAATTATTGGCTTATGTATCAATTAGCTTAGGCTGCATCATAAACCACTCCCAAACCTAGGTGGTTTAAAACAACCACCATTTATTTAATTCATGATTTTGGCAAGTGAGTAGTTTTGGCTGGGCTCAGCAGAGTAATTCTTGTCTGGGCCAGGTTCAACTAATGTTGGCTGAGCTTGTTTAAAGATCTGTAGTTAGCTAGAGTATTGGCTAGGTCTGGTTTCTTTATGATGGCCTCATCTGTGACAGCTAGAATGACTGGGTCTATCCATATGCTCTCATCCTCGTCAGTTGGCCCAAGCTTTTACATGACAGTCAAATTGCTTTTGTCCTAAGGTTCTTAGAACACAGTCTCTTGAGGCCTAGGGTCAGAACTCACAAATCACTTCTGCTACATGCTTTTGGCCAAAGCAAGACACAAGGCCAGCCAACACTGAAGGGATAGGAAAAGGACTTCTTCTTTTAATAGACAAAAGTGCAAAGTATTGTGGTCATTTTTGCAGCAAGTTTAGTTGCACCAGAATAAACTTGAAATGGCATGGGAGATGCAAAGGGAAGAGAGAGGATAAAAAGATAAACCTAATTTCTGAAAGGCTGTTACTGCAGCTCTTCCCATGGCTAACATCTCGTTCTTCAAGTTTTACCTCCTCAGAGAGGATTACGTTGATCAATTTTATTCTTCCATCACTTATCCTATCACCCTGTGTTTATTTTCTCCTAGCCCATATCACTCCATATACATTGATCTTGACTTGTTTACTGTCTGTATCCCCAAAATGGAATGTAAGTTCTTGTCTGTCTTGCTCACTACTATGTATCCTGTTCTCAGATTAGTACCTGATACATATCAGGTTATTAGTAAGTACTTATTGAATGAATGAATGAATGAATGAATGAATGATAGCATTCTAAGCATTATATGTTGCTCCTAAGCCTGAGAACCACCACTTGAGCCAATATGCTAATGCTTCAGTCCACCAAAGAAAATTATTAATGTAAAGTTCTTTTTAAATCTAAGTGATGGTCAATTTACTGCCCAGCAAATTAAATATAAAAATATCTGGAAAAAACTAGCTTACATTTTTTTTTTCTTCTCACTGTTGATTGGCTTAATCTCACTGTTGATTGAATTAATCTCTTATGAGTTGTCACCACAGGCAAAATTTTCACTACTCTCTTCCCCACTACAGAATTAATTATTGAAAAGTATTGTATATGCAATATACAATTCTTGATTATATTAACTTTAATTTCTATGTGTACATTTAATGTCATTTGCATTTCTAAATATATACAGGATCAGAATGAATTGGGTTAGAAAAGCTGGGTGTTTTGGTGATTATAATTAAAGTAGATAAGGCATGATTAAATTCAACCTAGCAGAGGAATAATATAAAATATGTGAGGGCGACTGCTTTGTCTACCCTGCCAACCACTACAAAGAAGAGGGCTAATATCATCCCTTTCCAGGATGATTTACAGAGCCTAAGATAAAATAAGTGTTCATAAATGTTTTTAGAACAATGCCCTTTCTTGGCATTTCATTCTAGAAGAAATGTTACAAACTGATTAAACTAGAGATTTTCTTAGAACCAATGAAAAAATCATCCTCATTTCTTCTAAAAAGAGGATGTACATTCAACTAATAAAACTTTATTTAGCATAATGCCTGAGACATACTATATTTCATCCTATCTAAGACACTGTCAATTATAAGATACATTATTTTATGCTCAACTGAGAAAGAAAAAACACTGCCAATATAAATTATACAATGCCACTGATGGTAAGAAATGTCTTGATTAAAAGGGGGAGATGTATATCTTCGAATCAGTAAAATATGTTAGCAGGTGCTCAGTAATTATTTGAGGGATAGATGATGGATGAATGGAGTCTTAGTCTGTTTTAGCTGCTATAACGAAAATACCATAGACTAGGTAGGTTATAAACAATAGAAATTTATTTCTCACAGTTCTGGTGGCTGGAAGTCTGAGATCAGGGTGCCAGCATGGTTGGATGAGGACCGTCTTCCAGTTTGCAGACTTCCCATCGCATCCTCACATAGCAGAAGGGGCAAGCTAGCTCTCTGGGGCCTCTTCATGAGGCCCCATTCATGAGGGTTCTGCTAATGACTTCTCAAAAGCCCCACCTAATGCCATCACCTTGGGCATTACATTTCAATATATGAATTTGGGGGGGACACAAATATGCAGATTATAGCAGATGGATAGGTGAATGGAGGAATGAATGGATACTTGATCTTAACTCTTTGAGAGCAAGAACTCAGATTAGCTCATGCATATTCATCAAAATAACTTGCATGGTACTTTCACACAGTGTTTAACAAAGTGTTGAAGCAATAACATTAAGGCAGGTTAATTTAAGTAGAAAGAAAAGAGAACAGAAATGCCAAGTAGGCCATGAGAGTGGAGAGTTGTGGATAAGGAATTACAGAAAGCCTCAATTCCGTTGGTCTTTATCGGGTCATTATATTAAAGGATGGGGAAAACTCCAGGATTCTTGTTTGTTTCTAAAGAATAGATTATTCTCTTTTAACAGTTCAAGTCTAGTTTCCCAAAGTGAAACATTTTTTCCTAGGACTTTCTATTGCCATATTTGAGAGCCAAATTCTGAAACTAGACTTTGAAAAATGGTTTCATAGAATCGTAATACTAGAGCTGGAAGGGATCATAAAATCCGGTCCCCTTGTTTTAGAGATATAAATTTATCCTTTCATTCACCCACTTATTCATTCATTCTAGAAATATTTCCTGAGTGCCTCACATACAGTAAATGCTGTGCTAAGAACAGAGGATTCAGCATTGGGGGAGACAAACAATTAAGCAGACAATTAAACCAATGGATGCATGCCATAATAGGGCAAGACAGGGTGCCCCCATGAGCACACAGGGAAGGATACCATGAATGAGGAAACCATGGAGATACTGTGACTTGCACAAATTATAGTAACCTAGGGGTATATTTGGGTCTTAGCTGAATAGAAATATTCATAAGAAACATATCTTTTAAATTAATGTGCTCTGATAAATATAATTGGTAAAGCATACATTTACCAATAAATGATTGGTAAATCACACATTGCTACGAATTTCTCCTAGCCAATTAACACATTATTCCAGACATTTTAGACAGCCTTTACTTCAAGATGCCCTCATGCCCATAAATCTCCAGTGGCTTCTATTTTCTACCACATAAAATAAAAGTCCTTAGCCTGGTATTCAAGATTGTTTATGATATGGCCCCATTATATTTTTGCAAGTCTTAGCTTTTGGATATTCTACTTTAGCCATACTGAAAAATGGACATTTCCATCTCCAGACACACTTGGACATTTCCATCTCCATTCTTTGCTCATGTTATTCCCCCAGACTATGATGACCTCTGCACTGGTGAATCTTCATCTTTTATGAGACATTTATCATTTAAGCCCTTTTTTATCGGAGAAGGCAGAGTGCCAAGTACATGGGGATTGGATTCAAACTGCTTGTGGGATTCCAATACCAGCTACATGACTCTAGTGTCACTAAATAGGCTCAGATATTAATAATATTTTCCTTATTGTGTCTTTGTGAAGAATAGGCAAGGAAAATCTTGTAAAATATTTATCAGTGAACTGGTTAAATTTTCTGTTATTCTACATCCCTCTAATTCTTTTTGGTATTCCTTTTATCCCATCTATCACCTATTGTCTTATTGGTTTTTACATGTATTTCTTTCTTCTCAGCAGTATTATTAGGGAGCAAATATGGGGACAGTGTTTTTGATCATCTATGGATCACCTATAATACCTGGAATACTACCATATATACAGCAAGTTTCAATCAAGTTTTTGAAAGGATAAATGAAGAACAGAAGAGATAAATGGATGAATGGGTGTGATGAGGTCTGGCACTGGTGGCATTTGTATTTACTTTACGTCTATAAGCAGACTGACTTTATAAATGACCCCGTGGTTGTCGAATAAGTTGATAATATTTCTAGAGCAAATTTACATATGAAAAAACTACCCACATTGCTTTTTCTCATCTTTGGTCAGGAGTAGACCCTTGCATGTCAACCTATCCAAGGCTTTTTGAAGAGCAGAAGAGTTGTGTCCTAGTAAGACACTTTAGAGAGTTTCTTTGTTTCTCATTCCTGGGGCTGATTTCTTTTATTACTCCATGTGGTCTCTGAGGAGAATTTCTGGAAGGTCAGCATGAGGCCTAGGAAATGAGGCAGCCAGGGACAGGTCAGTCCTTATGTGGTCTAGACTGAGTGTTTCATTTAATGTTATGACCTAGAGAGAATCAGAGGTTTTGCCAGCCCTCTTCAATTTGATTTAGAAAGACCTGGCCTGAAGTTCACCTCTGTGAAAAGACCTGGTCTCAGCAAGCAGCCAGGTGTGTCTGGTCTTATTCATTCTGCCTGTAAACATTAGGATGCTATATATCCAATTCTACCAATATATAAACTGTCTTATAAAATAAGTTATATAGTATAACATAGAAGCATACTTTTTCAAATAATGAACTATTTAGATCTACAGCTGGGATTCATCTGTCCTCAACAAAGCCACGTGCATATGCCTTTCTAAGTGTGAGAAGTCCTCACATTCTAAATTTATATAAAATTATTAAAATTAATAATTAAAATAATAATAAAATGAAGAGTGATATATATCTATATCAATTTACAGTTCATTGGCACTTGGAATAGTGCCTTGAAGAAAGTGGGCATTCCATAGATATATTTTTGAATGCATGTTAAATGAAATACAGTTTGCTTTGCAAAGCCGTTTTGTAGAATATGTTAATGACGTTTTATAGAGTATGTCAATAATACTGTTTCTTTCTTCTCCAGAAAGCATTATACTATTTCTTAAAGGCAGCAAAGGCCGGGAGTGCAAATGCCATGGCATTTATAGGAAAGGTATATGCTTCATCTGGATTGATATTTTTCATTTCTTAAAGACCTAAGAAATTAATAGTATCAGCTAATTGAACCCAGTGTAGGGTACAGGGCTGCAGACCTCGATCATGAAAAGAGTTGAAGGGCATTTGGCTACAAATTGAGGGTAGTTTTCCTGAGGTGATAGTTTAGGAAGAAGCCCCATAAAACAGCAGCCTTTATCTAGGACGCCAAAAGCAGCCTTGAAAGTGCACCTGGCTCAGGACTCCTTGACTGAGTATAGTTCAGAATCAATCCTTCCCATGACTTCTATCCCTGGCATGTAACAGGAGAGCTGAGCTAATTATGCACTGAAGACTGATACAGGCCTCAATCTCATGAGGTGCCTCCTTCCTCCACTCTAGGAATGAGACCCAGCTCCAGGCTGACCAAAGTCCATGCTTGGGCCACCTCTGGTAGGAGGACCCTCTGGCTGCTGAACAGCTTTTGTGGAGGATTCCTCTAGAGAGGCAGGTTCTTTCTTCAAAGACCACTCACTCTCCCAAGTGCTGCCCTTGGCACTGCAGCCAGTTTGCATTCATTAGGAACCTTGGGGACAAGTGTTCTATTTCCAGAAGTGCTACACACAGTAAATTTAGATGCAAGGAAGTATGAGAAAACACAAATAGGGCTCATTTTTTTTGTCCTTGGGCAAATTCACTTCAGAATGTATGTAGTAGATTGTTTCTTTAATTTTTCCTTTATAAAAAATTGAAGTGAAATTCAAATGACATAAAATTAACCACTTAAAAATGTACATTTCAGTGGCATTTATTACATTCACCGTGTTGTGCAACCATCACTTCTATGTATTCTAAAATCTTTTCATCATCCTCAAATTTCTTGGTTTTTTAACATCCTCTTTTAATTTTTCTTCTAGATGTATTTAGAAGGTAATGATGCGGCACCACAAAATAACGCTACTGCGTTCAAATACTTTTCCATGGCAGCCAATAAGGTATGTACTCAGCTCATTTCTTCAAAACATAAAAACATTTGACTTCCATTACATGCAGACTAGTGCTGAAGAGTTGACTTCAAGGCCCCATGCCTGGTTAATAGGCGTGGGAGGAGTTTCGTGTCCTGGAGAAGAAGAATACTGTTCTCAATAAAATATGGGGTTGGGATAGGGACTGACATGTCTTGTCTTCTTAGTAAGTGAAAAATAGCAGTGACTTGAATTTTCCTAGCAAGAAGCCAGACAGAAGCTCAGCTTTCCCCTCTTACATGCAATAGATGAGGCCATCTAGCTCAGGAAACAAGAAATAAGAGATAAGGATATAGGAAGAGAAAACTCAGTCAATAATACTGTAAGTTTAGGATGAAAGCAACCAAGAAATGCCCAGTTTTCTCCTGTTTGATTATACCCAAGAGCTAGAAATCCCCTTGGCCCAAGAATAAGGCTGTCAGAGAGGCACGATGATTGAGATCATGGCTCTGGATACATTTGGTTTGAATGCCAGCCCTGCTACTTACTAGCTGTGTGACTATAGGCAAGTTACTTAACCTTCCTGTGCCTCGACTTTCTTATCTATAATATGATAATATAAGATTTGCCTCCTATTGTTGTCAGTATTTTTGAGTTAACATTTCTGTGCCTCCTATTGTAAAGTACTTAAAACACTGCCTGGCACATAGTAAGTGGTATGTGTCAGCTATTATCTTTTGCAGCCTGGAGCCAGTTAGGTAGAGTGAACTTCAAAGCATATCCAAGGCAGAATAGATTGGATCTGTGAAGGAATATAGAAATGATGTAATATGGCTTCTGCCATTGAAGTTTTGCCTTAGTTCCTTGGTTCGGTGAGGCTGGCATCTGTCAGATAAAACTTAGAGGACTACTCTGAATCCCTTTAGTAAACTAAGAGTGTCCTAATTGCAGCACCCATCAACCTATTGTTGGTGAATGGCCTTAATAAATTTTCTATCCCTGCACAATAGGAAACATTTTGTTGTCTTACTCTGTCATACCACAAGACTAACAGTAAAGATGTGCTCAAGTTGGAATATTTTCAACTGTTCTCAGTTTTTAAAAACCTACTGCTGCTTTAGGAGCCTATTTATAAATGACTAGCACTTCAGTGCTGCTGCTATTGTGGTGTAAATTACTGAGAAGGCTGGTACTAAGCTCCTCTCCCTTGTAATTTATATGAAATTGTTGCTCAGCAAGACTATTAGTTATATGGAGATTAGGATGACAGGAGAGAGCCAACTGAAAAAGAGGCGGTGTAATGTAACAAGAAGATCTTTTGTAATTTGGCAAATAATGCTGATTTGTCAGCCCAGAGGAATAATGCCAGGAAGTTGAGTGTGTAAATTAACCCAGCTCCCAAGCTATTCAGGGCTGAGTAACCAGCAGTGATCTGAGTTACCTTACTTTACAGAAGAAACCTGACAGTGTATTTAAAATGATTGTTCTGAATGGCATCAAGTGGACACAGCCATATATTCCTTTATCATCACCTGGAAATTAGATTTCTCAATTAGGGTCACAACTAAAGTAAAAGGTGTCTATCTCCCACTCTTTGCACACCCACGCTCTTCTACTTAAAGAAAAAAAATGCATTTTCAATTTGCTTTTAAGTCATATCAGTACTGAAATGCAAGGCTACAGACTTTATGACCTCTTTTATCTTATTTACTCAGAAACATAAACAGTTATCCTGTGTGAAATTGGGCCCATATTGGACTAGTTTTCTCTCTCAGCCTCTGAACACATCAGATCTATCCCCATCTCCACACTTTTGTCTTTTCCCCTCCCTTCCCAGACTCTCCTATTCTGAATCCTATCCATCCCCCAGAGTAGAGTTTAATCCTCTCTCCCTCCACAAAGCCACTCTCACACTCCTTGGCTCACATAATCTTTTTCCTCTTCTGAACTTGCCCTGGATTCACACTATGTACTGCTGGAACTTTACTGCTTCTACCCTGTGCCATCTCTCTTACCCTCTAAAGGCCGTGTCTCCTCAACTAGAGGAGTGCAGCAGTCTTAGCACATAGTAGAGGTTCATTGAATATTTGCCAAATAAATGATCGTCTGCTCCCTAAGCTGATGTCAGTTAACCTAAGCAAGAGCATTTAAGCCCTAAAGTGAAAGTTATATATGGGGCGACTGCCTACTTATGTTTTGTTAGACCCAGAAAGTGTTTTTAAAATTAGGAAATTTCATATCAAAATCTGGTCATCCAGCTTCTCTTGAAAAATGGGAAGAGCTGACCATATGAAGCTACCATTCCATGTAACAAAACTGCCTGGAACAAAAACTGAGGAATTGCTGCTGCCTTTAGACAAGGCAGGTACTCACTGGCTTGCCTCAGTCTCCACCACTTCATCACCTAGATTAATGTACTTCTTACATTACTTTAATGGTCATTCCTGACCCAAAAGTCCTAAAAAGGTGCTTTGGGCCTTAAACAGTTAGCGAATCATCCACTGAGCTCCTGGTTTCCCTGCAACTCTCTTAGAGAAGGAAAGTAATTTGTCCTCACTGTTCTAACTTTCTCCCTCTTATTTTCCTCCCCCTTTCCTCTTCTTATTTCCCCTCCCTTCTATTTTTCTCATCATCTAAATGAGAGTAATTAGAAGAAGACAGATGGACTAGACCTTATCACACCCATCACTAGGCCTTACTACCCCGAGGCCAGACTACCCCAATACTCCTAAGACCACAGGTAGATGTAGTCAGGGGAGCAGAAGGACGAAGAGAGCAGACATATACCACTTGCTTTAAATATAGGTGGACCATCCTTAATAATTCTTACAATAGCTGGCCTTTTGATATTTATAGGCCCAAACTTTGGAGTCTTAAATAGTTTTTGAACTATGCCTTCTCTATTTATGTTTTATTCCAGTATCACTGATACTCTGACTCCATCCACAGCATCTACAGTTAGGAAAATCGGGAGAGTTTTCTACGAGAACTTGTTTCTGAGGAAATACTTTAAACGTATAAAACAAACCTACAGATTGGCTGAATGAAAGCCAAGTGGCCAACATGGCTCCTTACACAGTCACTAGAGGTTGAAATCCATGATGGGAGATAGAAAAAAAAAAAATGAGTTTTCTGGTACAGAAGTTACTTTTAAGGTTCACTCTTCATCAGAGATTAATAGGCTGAATATCAATATATTTGAACATGTGCTAAATGCTAAATGTGCTAAATACTCCCTTTCTAGACTATTTAGAATATAAATCGGAAAAATAAATGGTAATTAATTTAGCATCAAATAGAACAGAAAACATTGGTGATGTTATAAGCAGTCAAATTTGAATAAAGAAACATATACCAACAATGCTTGATCATCCATAATAGCTAGATTGGAATTCACAGAGTATCTAAATGTTATTTGGCCATTTATGGCAACCTCCTTTGACTAAAGCACATAACAAGTGTCTGGATAGATTTCTCCCTTCTGGAAAACTCTTACACATACTTCAGAACCCAGCTCAAATGTCACCACCTCTGACAACTCAATCCCCTCAGTCCCTAGCCACCTCCAGGCAATTGAGTATTCTTCTTCTAGGTGCCCACAACACACTCAATCTTGTTCTCCCACAGGAATTACTACAGTTGACATGATTACTTTGAGAGGTCCTCCCTAGTGAGTCAGAGCACACTAATCTATGAACTCTCTAAGGCAGGGGTCATGGTTTATCCATCTTTTAACTTTCATCTCCTTCCTCTGCACCATGCCTCTTGTGGGGTAACACAAAGAGAGTACTAAATAAAAGCTAAATAAAAGAATAGAAGAAAGACTTGACTTTCATTTTCCTCTTCTCTTTTCTAGTCAGAGGGAGTTATTAAGGGGTGAAAGTACAAACTAGAAAGGGTCAAAATAATTTGCCAACTGCCTGATTAACTGTCATGGTTAATCACCTATTGGGTGCGTTTCAAATATTTTGAATGATTTTTCAATAATTTTCCTTATCATGAATTCTTCTGGGACTTCACTTGGATTTTTAAAACTGTTCTAGGGCAATGCAATTGGTCTTCATGGGCTTGGTCTTCTTTACTTTTATGGGAAAGGAGTTCCTGTGGTAAGTTAAATAATATCATTATCTTTTTAACATATTTCTAGCCATTTATAGGGTAAAAATCATGGTCACTGATTAATTTAAAGAAATTAGTCTCTATTACCTGGTTTGCCAAACTATCATATCTGATAATAGAGAATAAAATAATCCAGTGAAATGTTTGCCAAAGAGACAGAACAAGCTTATGACAAGAATAACAACCCCAATTGTTACCTAAGGATTATTAACTTAATGTAATAGTAACCTTAGAAATCATCTAACCCTTGAGGATTTTTTCGATAGAGAAGTTTATCTTTTTAGTGTAACCTCTGTCTTTGAGTGACCTTGCCCCAATATCTAACAAAATTTAATGTCAGTGTAGGAAAAGACATAATTTGCAATGAAAATGAGATAATTATTTCCTAATATAATAATGAAATAAAATGTATAATACTTCTGATATTAGTTTAATTAGTCTAAATCACATCCAGCACTTACTTCACTCTTTTTAAAAAGTAGAGGGCAATTGTTACCATGGAGTTATACATACATCTCTGAGTAATAGAGTGTAATTATCTTGCAGAACTATGCTGAAGCACTTAAATACTTTCAGAAAGCTGCAGAGAAAGGATGGCCCAACGCACAGTTTCAATTAGGCTTCATGTACTACTGTAAGTGCTATGACTATGGCTGCTTTACTTAGAACAACAAATGATTATTAAGTCTGAACCTTTTTTGACAAAAATCAAAAGATTGGTGTGTGTGGTTTAGATAGAATATTCAGACAGCAATTTGAGGAGGAGTTTGAAGAAGACTGAAGAAAAGGATACCAGTTGAGAGAGGAAGCAAGGAGATGCAGAGTGAGAAAGTAACTTTCGAAAAGATTAAGTTTGAGGTGGCTTTTAATATCATGCACATACCCAGAAGCAAGTATGAAATTCACAAGAAAGATCAAACTTAGAAACATTTGGAACATGACAAACATCAACATGTAGGTATTTGTTAAGAATAGCTAAGGTTGCAAAGGGAAAAGAGAGGAGGGGGAAAGACAGTGGGCCATGGTCAGAAATCTGGTGATCCTCTGTGTCATATTGAAAAGATGGGCAGAGAAAGAGTGGTCATAAGATGACTGGAAAGGCATGATAAGAAGGGGAAAAAATGTGATCTTAAGGAAGCCAAGCAATAGAACTTTTAAGAAAGAGTAAATGAATGAACAAACCTCTGAACGCAGTGGGTAGCCTGGTTCTCAACTTAAAAAAAAAAAAAGTAAGAAAGGGTCGAGTATCCATGAAACTTGTCAGTATTGAGGATGCTAGTGAGATCACTAGACTGGTTGGTGTAAAAGCTGGATACAGTGGGTTGAAGTGTGAATAGAAGGTAAGGAAGGAAATGAGTAAAAATATTCTTGGGAGTACTGCACCTTTAACTGGAAGCAGAGAGATGTAATGGTAGCATGAAGAGGACCAAGAACTAAGAGGGGGGGTTGTTTTTAAGGTGGGGAGGAATGTGAGTATAATTTTTGGCAGAGAAAAGAGAGCCAACCAATGGAGGTGGTTAATGTGTCATGAGAGAGGCGAGATAATTGATACAAAAGGATTCTGAAAAAATTTAGGTGTCATTAGGATCTGATTGGACCTAGGTGAGAGGAGAGATTTTTCATCCTTAAAGATGGAAGGAGGAAGGAAAGATGGTACATGTGTAAATCTAGGGGGTAGGGGAAAGAGGCAAGTGAGGAAAGACTAACTGAGAATTTCTTCAGTGAGCTAGGAGGTACAAGGTTATCTTCTGAGAACGAAGGTAAAGCAGTTGGGGCAAGAGGTCTCATAAAGCCATGAAAGTCTATAACACTGTTTGTGGGGACTGAGAGAGGCCATGGCCAAGACAAGTACCAGGAGATCTAACATACACCTGAGTCTCTGCACTAAGACCTCTCTGTCAGAGGTGGAGCTAGTGCAGAGCAGACTGAATCACCAAGGAGGTCCAATCTGGCCAAAGAGTCAGCTGGCATTTTTCATGGTAGTCCAGGGGGAGGACCTGTTTAGTACTGCCTTGTGGGGTTGCCTAAGATGGCCTTATACATATAGTTCATTCCAGGTCACAGACCCAGGATCTATCAGATTCCTTAAGTTGCTAGAATAAGAGTAATAGTAATAGCTAATGTTTGTTAATCTTTATAGGTATTAACTCATTTCATTCTCTCAACACATTTAAGGAGTATCCCAGAGTTTATAGATGAGCAAACTGAGCCATGATATGGTTAAACGTCTTGGCCAAGATCACAGTGAAGCTGGGATTCAAATCTGAGCAATCTGCCTCTAGAGCCTTTGCTCTTAGCTGCTACATGACACTGCTTCTAAAGGCTATGAAATGTTAGTGCTGTGGGAGATTTAAGGACCAACTAGTGAAAGCCTCTCCTTCTTCAAATGAAGTGCCTGGAGGTGCTCGACTCACAAAAGGAGTAATGGGAGAGCCAGGACAAGAATCTCAGCTGCTGTAGTTGATTCTCTGCCCTAACTCCAAATGCTTCTACTTGCTCCAAGCATGAGTTGGGTATGAGCAACGCTTCCCGGAGATGAGATTTGCCTGCTTCAAACTCCGCAATTATGGCCAGGAGGAGCTATACTGGTCTTTTGGTATGGAAGGATGACATCATGGTAGGGCTTCTGGTCCTCAGAGACCAACATTTAGTCTTTGTTAATTTTAGTTACGACATATTGAGGAGATATTTTCATGAGACTAAACAGACCTTCTTCAGTTTTCTGAATAGGTCGAGAACAAAGATCTCTACATTCTTACTTAAAATTAAACTTAACTTTTTCTCTCCCAAACAGTGGAACTAGAACAGCTTGACTTTCGGTTGGCTTTTCTCACCCTATTTAAAATAGCAATCATCACTATGACCATTATATCCATAGATTATAATGTAACAAAATAAAAAAAATAAGGGGTGGCTCAAAATAATTTTAACTTTCAGCTGGCTCTGGAGTATTGAAGGATTATAAACTTGCCTTCAAATATTTTTACTTGGCATCTCAGAGTGGGCAGCCCCTCGCCATTTATTATCTGGCCAAGATGTATGCGACAGGAACAGGAGTGTTAAGATCGTGCAGAACTGCTGTGGAGGTAAATAATGAGATGTTTTTAAAGTACTTTTCATTTATCATTCAGAGTAAGTGATACTGCTCTTAAATTGTTGGTGCCTTTGATTTTATAGATATTACCTCTTTTCTTCCAGTTGACAGTGTGAACAGTGACATTTGTCAGGATGAAAAGCAGTGATGTAACTCAGACTGAGAAAGGAAGAAAGAGAAATGATCCCTCCTCTCTTGCATTTGGCTTTTTATCAAGTTCAGAGCTCCTTCAGAATCCTGTTAAAGAGCTCTATTTTAGCCTTCAATCATATCGGCAGGGCAATTTGGCAGATCTAGTGGGATTAGGGCTTTTGACTTGGAAACTGAAAGGTTTGGTTTAGCCTAGAAAATGTAGTCCACTTCTTCCCAAAAATCAGGGTCCTTAGGTATTTGATGATTTGGATGACAACTGAGAAAGTGAATTCTTTCAGCCCTAGGAAGCTTTTAGGAATTTAATGCCCTTTATTGATTTATGAAATACTTCCGCTGCATTTCCATGTTGCAATCTAGCCCCTCTAAAACTCATTTCAAAAGCTGCCAGCTAATAATCTATCTTTAGATTTGCTCCTTTGCCAACTTCCTAATGAATTATGTATGGCTAACCTCTTTTGGTTACATAAGGGCTATTCAGCTAAGTTGACATTTGTCCCCATAGAACTCCACACAGCTCCCTTGTAGTTATGTCACCTACACCCTCAGGCACCGTCTTCCCTTCATTCTCTCCTTTCCACATCAGCTGTGGCCTTATAACTTGCCTTAGCAGAGCAGCAGTGCCCAGAAAGGACCCTTTTTAAAAACAGAAGTCAATACATTTTTGTTCTGCCAAATAGCCTCCAAGTCAGGAGAGTTTATTATGCAAACATAAAATAAGCCTCAGGAAGTTTCAGCTCAAAACAAAAAAATACACACTTATAATCTTTGTGTATATGAAAGTATTAACTCTTAACCTTAAATAATTTGCAAAAGCCATGCTTTAGACCAGAAATTCTTGTCCAACTAACCAGCAGGAGCTGTAGACTAATGTCATTTATATTTTAACTAGAATGAAGCATATTGGCTAACCAGTCTGCTTGATTTCTCTTCCCATGTACAGCTTTATAAAGGAGTTTGTGAACTAGGCCACTGGGCTGAGAAATTCCTGACAGCATACTTTGCCTATAAGGATGGTGATATAGATTCTTCTCTCATTCAGTATGCACTTCTTGCAGAAATGGGGTATGAAGTAGCTCAAAGCAATTCAGCATTCATTTTGGAATCTAGTAAGATAAGTTAAAATTCTCTGTAATTCCCTAATCACACATATGTATATATGACTTTACTACAGGTACATTTTAAGCCTTCTGAATGGAATCTCTCTCTCTCTCTCTCTCTCTCTTTTTTTCTCTCTCCCTCCCTCTTTTTTTTTTTTTTTTTTTTAGAAAAGGCTAAAATTATTGAAAAAGAGAAAATGTATCCAATGGCACTTCTCCTATGGAATCGAGCTGCCATTCAAGGTATAGAACCTAGATAAAAATAAGCATATACCTGGTCCCCATCCACTATTATTCATCTGATTTGCTCCAGCTGAGTTCTTGGGCACATAGACAGAAAGGTACAGAATATCAAGTAGGTGGTATTTCAAACTGTACTAATATTAGGATCAGTCTTTGGTTGGAGGTCATTTCCAGGAATTTCTTTTCTTTATTATTCTCAAGGTCCCCAGTTTAGCAAACCATACAAATTTTTCTGTAGCTCTGTCTTCATGGCACCAGAACGGCTGTTTGAAACATGATGGTTTTACTTAAGATACCAGTTTTCTTGGTCTGGCTTCAGTCACTTAATTGCTGAGTTTTCTTTAACTTATCAGAGATGGAGCCTATATTGCAATGAGTTTATAGGTAAAATTACATGGGGATCTAAGACTTGTTTGATTTCTCTTTTAAAATATCACATTGATTATTGCCACAAACTTTGGATCTTTATTATAACTGTTAGCATGTTAGCATCAGAAAGAAAGGAAAAAAAAAAAAAACGGAGTTAATTGGCAAGATCTTCTCAGAGCCTTTCCTGGAGTTCCTGTGCCCTGCTTGTAGGGGTCACGTGATGAGAAATGTAAGCTAGCATTGGTGGGAAAGCATTGACAGGTGGGATTTGAATCACTATGTCTCATTCTATTCTTTCCCTAAAATGATATTACTAAGAGTAGAGAGATATTGCAAAGCTGCCACCATTGGCATTTGGATATGCAAGGAACTCTCTTGCAGTAAGAAAACAATTTTACTTCCAATTAAGTTTCTCAAAATTGTTTCATGCTAAGGCCGAACTATCCTGTTCTACAAGAAGTGAATAGAATAAAAATGATTTTCAGTTCATGCTAATATGAGGCAGAGGAAAAATTCACAGTGGTGCCTTGTCACATCCAGCTGAGCTGGTAACACAACAGCAAGCTGTCTGTGCAATTTTAGTGAAAAATTCCCCCCAAAAGAAAAGTCTGTGTTTTCTAAATGCAATAAAAACCTTGTTTGGAGTGGGGAAACAACACAAAAAACCTCTGAGCTATGGCAGATTACCTCAACTGCAACAAATACAGGTTTATTCCAAGCTAGGAAATATCGTAGAAATTGCACCAAGGAAAAGAGCTATTGGAAATGAGGGGACATTAATATTAAACAGAATTCTCCAATATAAAAATGTCAGGCCCCTAAAAATAATTATGTGTCACAAGAGAGGTCAGTCAAGAGTGTCCCCAAAGATGTGCCTGCTGAGTGGCTCGCTTGAGGTTAGGAAACCTAATAACCAGTCACTGGCGGTACTTCTCTCAGCAGTTGCTGTATGTGAGGAGGGTACTGAACCATTGGGGCTCAGCAGTCATCACCCTGCCACTGTGAAACTGAAAGAGAAAGCTGCACCACTGACAAGTGGCTCCCTGGGAGCCTGTCAGGGTCACCACATGCCTCCAGTTAGCCCCCTAATTAGGGTGAAGCTGAATCCTCTGAAAACCTGCTTGTTCACTGCCTTCCATTCTCAGAGACTTCAGGGGTCCTACTTAATGCTTGTAAAGCTTGGAAACACACAGAAGTCCTTTTGTGGTTATGGCCCAGAAGGAATATTGGAGTCAAAGAAAGGCAACTTTGGGCAAAATTAGAGATGGAGTAGTTTTCTCTCTAGGGTTCCTGGAGTTTTTTGCCCCTCCAGGCCCCTGCAGGCCCATTTCTATAAGGTCTTGTCTACCTGTACATTTTGAAGCACCTGGAAAGCAAGCCCTGCTAACTAATGTCTTTGGCAACTTAAGAATTTTATGACGTTACCTCTACTCAAAGAGAACTAAAGATGGCTATGGCATTACATTGTAATAGAGGAGTCTAGAAGACTAAAAGAACTTCAGTACTCAAAGGAATCAGTTCCAAAATATTTTTGGCATTGCACTAGGCCAAATGGAATTTAGAAGGAGTCCTACATCCTTAAATGATATACCTCAGACCATATCGCACAGGGGACTTCTTCCTTTTCCAGGCAAGCTTAGACTGTGCTAGAGGGATTGGCCACAGCTGAAATGAATGCCCTAGACAAACATTTCCTTGTCTATTCAATCAACATTGTCCTGGTGAATGGAAACACAGACCCCAAAGAGACCCTTAGAGGTCATCCCTAAGTAGCCTTTAAAAGACTCAAATCTCATATCTTAAAACGTCACATGAATTTTTTTCCTACTCCTAAATGTATCAAAGTTTGCTAGAAAGTAAGATGATAAAATATTTA